TTTTTTTCTTTTATAAATATTTTTAGATGCACTAATATTTGTATTATTTTGAATGATCACGTTGCCATGGAATAGTAGACTTATGGACTCAGTGTAACAAAAGTCTGTACATAGTGGGGTTAAACAGAGGGGTATTCTGGGGCTTTCTGGTCCTTCAAAGCTTCAGGCCAAACTTTAATGCTTCAGCAAACACTAGCTATTCTAACAATGTGCTCTGCTTTTTTCTTATGTATACACACACACACGCCATTTGCATTATAGGATATGGATTTGGTTTCCTCTGTCTTCTGGTGAGGAGGACCGACAGACAGCAGTAACAGAGACAAACTGAAAGACAGCTCAGTTTGAGCCAGCGTGGCATTATTACACATAAATGGGAAACTGTAATTTAGGCTGCAGTAGCTGCATGAGTTGTTGATCTCATCTCACTGGTCACGTTTGGGTATGCTTGACCTGGTTCTAACTGTGTGTGTGTGTGTGTGTGCGTGTGCGTGTGCGTGTGCGCGTGCGCGTGCGCATGTGCGCGTGTGTGCGTGTGTTCATGACATGCCAGGCTGATCAAGGTCTCTCTCACTTCCAATCTCTTAGTCTATCCTTGTCTCTATCCCTGCCAATGCCATATTGGATTTTGCCTGCATGCCAGACCATAGTGAATCCCACCTCCTCCTCCCCCATCCCAACACGCATGCACGCACGCATGCATACTCACAGACGCACAGAATGTGTGTTTAACCAGTTGAGAGCAAACTGCTAGATTAGATGGTATTGACACATTCTGGATCAGCTGTCATGTGTACACAGAACCTCTGACAGTGCTGAGGATTGTACTCGTATTTTCACTGCACAGAGTGGTACATGCCAATTATCCCAATTGTTAGGAAGTCCAAGTGAGTCTTAAAGCTTTTAAGAATAATTAGGAATCCCAATTATGAGGTCACCTCTTATGTATTATGCAGTTTTGGACTGGTTGATGTTGTTCTGCTATTTGTCTTCTCTTGTGTAGTTCTCTTAACCAAATGTGTCATTTCTTGAAACCAACTATACTTTGTTGGGAAGGTTTAGTCTGCTCAGCCTTCCCAACAAGGACAAGAATCCACTGCTGTGATGACAAGGAGAGAAGGGTTGAAACTGAAGACTGATTCCTCCCTTGGTCTCATACTGAGCTACTGTATCATAGTATTTATATGATGGAGTAGCTACGTGGTACACATGCATGTGTCCTGTGCTACATGGCTAAAAATTCTAAACAGCAGTTGAAGAGAATTCATTTAATATTTAAGTGACACATAAATATTAGACTTTGTTATTTATTGAGGATAATGGTCTGTTAATAAATGTCAAAGTATGCAGACATTTAGGATTACCCGTTAATTTGAAGGTGAAATCCGATGTGGGTTTTGATTTAAAGTGGTGTTCTCCCATTATGTTTTTCTCCACAAATATTTAATACACGGTCATGGTTTCACAGCCAGCAGTATTTCTTTGTCCAGGCCTTAAAATGTTTGCATCATGTCTTTGACATCTAAGCAGTAATGACACATTTCTGACCAAAACTCGTTGCATTTAAAGCATTTTTAGTGCCTAATTTGTCAGTAGCTGAAGAAATGTAATGTCATGTCCACAGCCTGGGCCTCATATTTCACTCTGTCTGTGAGAGATGAGCGTGTGTTCTGCCAGTGTTTCACAGATTATAGTGTTTTGCAGGATTATGTGCTGTCAGCAGCACATGCCATACAGTGCAATCTGTCCAGTTAAGAAGATCCCATAAGTTCGTTTTTTTTAAGTGCTCTAGTAAGCCCACCTCAGTCTGTAATCCCAGTCCCAGCATATAAAGGCTAATCACAGAATTAAGTGCCGTCCTGAATGCGGACACATCTCTCACACACACAGGCCAAACCATACTGCACTTTGACTGGTGTTATATGAAATTAACAGTAGATGTATAAGTATAACGATACGAGAAATGTTTGTGTCTGCCAGTCTGTCTGTCTCTTTGTTCATTCGTGTGTTTAGGAATGCAGTATTTCTATCTAGCTTATAATCAGTGTTGGACCAGGTGACCCTGATTCTGCTCTAGGCTCAGGCTGCCCTTGTTTTACTCTGATTTGTTTATATGCCATGATTGCATGTTATTAACTTGTCTACACCCGCCTTTAGTTTGAGTTTTGTCCTGTTAGCTGTTCTTCATCTCTCTGTTTTGTCTTTTATTTCTTTTCACCCCTTGAAGTGGTGGTGGCCCATGACAGTTTCTGCTGGATTACCCTTCTTGTTTAAAAGGAAGTTGTTCTTCCCCTTGCTTGTTTGCTCAAAGAAGATTGTAGAATAGCATCCATATCTTCTATTTTAAATTCTGTTG